CGGCCGGCGCTGGCAGAGCCGCGCTGGTTACTCCTCTTCGGGCCACCCCGTCTGACTCTTGTTGGGGTGTTGCTCTTCCCTACCGGAGCCAGGCCTGGGTCAGACCGCCAGTTTGGACATGTCCGTGCACCTCCAGCCTTCCTCACCTCTGTCCTCCTCCTCCTCTCTGTTTAGGGACGGGTTTAACTTGGAGAAGGGCAGTGGTACTTTTCCTGCACACAGAGGTTTTCGTTTCCGTGGGATCACACCCCAATAATCCATCCCTGTGCGGATTGATTAAGATGCCACAAATTTGTTAGCAAGTTAAACAGGTCGCTTTCTCCCCTCGTCTGGCCACGCAATTATTCCTGCTTCCTTTGCTTAAATGAGGTTTTGCTGCTTGTGGACAAAGAAAGCTGCCGGTAGGACAGACTGCAGGAACACTTCAGGCTCTGGTACATATGATCCCGGTAGCTGTGGCTTGTCTCTCCCCCCTCACACCCCCTTATTTCAGCTCCCAACATTCTGTGGCAAGAATGAAAGCTCTTTTAAAACAGCAGGGAGACGGCAAGACAGCCCAAGTTGGTAGTGGCTGAGAGTTGTTATTATCCGCTGGCATCCATGAAATTAATCCACAGCTGAGAAACTGCTTCCAGCTGGCAGCTGCCAGCCAAAGGGGCTTCACACCCACCCAGCATCGACTGACCTGCTCACTGGCTGCTCTTCCTTAGCCATGCATGAATCCTTCAGGGATTGCTTGTGGAAGGGGTGTCAGATGCAGTTCCCCAGGTTCCACGTGGATCTGAGCAGTTTATTTCCAGTGAGATAGTTTTGCTCCTGTGGGTCATGGAGAAGTAGAAGTGCTAACAGCCAGGTTTGGAAGGTAACATGGAAAGGGAGAAAAAGAGTGGAGGTCTAGAGATGCGAGTTGTCTGCTGGGACTTACTTCTGGGACCAGTGAATTACTTGCTTTAAATGAAGTAATTATCACTGGATAAGGCACTTCTGTGCACTGTGTATAACTTTAAAAGCACCACCGTGGTTCAGCTCTTGGGGGTTTTTGTTGGAAGACATGGAGAGTGTGTGGGTTTGTGGGCCTGTAAAATACAGGGCAGGGGAGGGGAAAAAGAACTGCCTAATTGTTAAATAAAAACCCATCCTGTCCCCCTGATTTGGGATCTCTGCTGAGCTGCAAAACATGAGGCTAAACCAAGCTGGAAGGGTGAAACTTGTGTTTCACTTCTAAGGCCACCATAATATAAAACACAAAAATGGCTCCTATGGATTGTTTTTGGGAGCAATGCCTTTGGCATGAGCCAGCGTCAGGATAACTCAGTTCTTCCTTCATTTACACTGTCTCACTTGGCTGATGTCAGGGGGGTTCTTCTCGTGGATTTACAGCAGCATTAGGAGTGAATCAGCCCAAGAACATCCCAGGAAGGATATCTTCATATTTATTGCAGAATGCTCACATATAGCTGAGTTAACAACAGCACCTCATGTCTTTGTGCCTGCCCCTCTTTTAGTCACGGAATCGCAGGCAGAGAGTGCAGGATGGACACAATGCCCTGCTCCCTGGGCCAACCTCCCCTTGACAGTATGGGGTAGGGATGGCATAAAAACAACCTCCAGAAATATCAGGCACCATGTCCAAGACTCTTCTTGCTTTCTCAGGAATAAACAGCCAAGTTGCATCTGGTTTTTTACATCCTTAAGCTATGGGTGAAGGATTACAGCATCTGTCCCCACTCTTAGGATGGGCTGGGTGCATGCAAGGGTGAAGCTGCTGATGCAGAGTCCAGCCTCCAGCACCCCCAGAGTGCAAGATTGCACTCCTCACATCTGTCTTGTAGCAGGGACCAGAGGAGGAGCTCGGGCTCAGGTGACTCCTGAGCAGTGCAGGAGGTAGAGCCCTTTGCCTGTGGTCACTGTCATATGCTGAGACCAGTGCTCCAACTCATCTCACCTTCCCTCACCTTCCCTTTCTTGGGCTGTTCATGTGTCACAGATCCTCTATGTGGATGCTCCTGGGTGCTAGCACAGCAGGAAGTCTTGCCTGGTGTGGAGGGAGCCCCATACACAGCTCCTTTGAGGCAGGTGGCTCCAACCAGGGCCTGGGGAGAGAGTGAGCTCCAAGGCCACCCTGCAATGCCATGGAGGGGAACTTCTGTCCCTGGAAGGATGGAAGGCTGATGAGCCAGAACCTGGACCAGCTCTGGCCTTGCTGTGCAGCTCTGCCTCGTGCAGAGGAGTCAGGATGAGCCCCAGATTTACTGGGGCAGGTCATTTTCAGAGGTAGATGTTACATGCTGTGTCTTCACAGGGAGTATTTTTGTCTAAAACTAGAGTAGTTTTCACTCTGCAGAGCAGAGCACTGATAGACATATTTACCATGTGATTTCAGTCTTTCTGCCAGGTGGGGAAAAAGAACAGCAAAAATTCATCTGCTAAGCAAAAAAAAAAAAATAAAGCCCTAAAGAGTAATAACATTTTGGCAGTTGTTGGTCTGGACTCACTCAAATAAACTCTTCATACAGCTATATCCATGCACAAGTGCTACAAGGGAGGTTAAAGTCCATGCCCAATTAGCTAAAAATGACATCAAAAGGGTGCTTGATCAGGAAACCAGCAAGTCTATATTTGTGCAGGAATTGATGTTGCTGAAGTCGCAGATCACAACTGAGTACAACTTCCTGGCAACGTAAAAAGTCAAGTTTGTAAAAAAAAAAAAACAACCCCACACAGTCCCCTCATTTCCCGGAAAACTTTTTTGATGCTCTGTCATCCTGTATTGTGGCTGTTTCAGACGTGGCTCACTACAAATGAAATAACTTCTACAAAAGGCAACAAGGTTGTTACAAGTTTCCGTCTGATTTTCTTTTAGGTGAAACAGAGTTTATTTGAGTTTCTTGTTCCCGGTCTGCACTTGAACCTACCTGCAAAGCCAAACCTCTTCCTGACCTTAGCAGGGATCAGAATAGATGAGGGTGCATGGGCTATTTAAGCTGTTTTTCCTCTTTTCTTGGGTGCAAGCTCCCAGAGTGGAATAACAGCTCAGCACAATGACAGCTGCTGTCCAAGGGCGTGTTCGTTGGGAGTCTGGTGCATGAAAACAGATTCATTAGCAAGGCTCTCCTCTGAATTTTTGGAGCTCATCTGTATGCACTCACTCTGTCCTGACCACGGGAGTGTCCAGCTCCAACTCCTTTCCATGCACGTGGGATTTCCTTGTGTTATGAAACATGATGTCTGAGCTCCAGCCAGTCTGTTTTGTGCTACCAAGGGACATTTGGGGATGGCTGAAGCTGTCATGCATCTTTTTGTGTGCTGGCTTTCTGCAGTAGGATTGCTGCTATTACAGGTGGGGACATGGAGGGAACTGAGTTTGAGGGGACAGTGACTTCACTGGGATGTTCCTGGGATGAGGCTGCAGGATATGGGCTTGGCCTCTCCTGGCAAGTCACAAGGTTGTTGAAGTGTTTGTGTAAGGGTCTTTGGCTCAGCACAGGATTCCCCTCATCTTGCTCCAGGGAGAGAGGCTTAGTGAGGGGTCCTTGGGGTGTTGGAGCAGCAGGGTGCTCCAAGGGAGGCAGTACAGGGATCTTGCCTTTGCAAAGGCTCCTCCAGCATACTTGAGAGGGGGAAAGCTCTCATCTTTAACCAGTCTGCTGATGAAGGCATCAGCTAATAAGTCTGACTGTCCCCACTCCCTGTCTTAGGTTTCCTGTCTCTGTTTGATGAGAATATTGATATTGGATATTTCTGGTGTTGTTTCAAAGCAAGAAAGTTCTGCATCTCCTGTTTTTTACCAGGTCTGGCAAGCCAGCAGCCTCCCAGAGCAAGAGGCTGGGGCTCCCCGTACTGCTGCATATGGGTTAGAGCAGGCTGGGGAGCAAGGAGCTAAAGGCAGGACAAAGAACCAACACCACTCTTGGTTCTGCCTTCTCTGTTGGTCCTTTCTGCTGCCTATAAACCATGCAGGAGCCTGCTGGGAGCATTTTAGTGTGGATACAGTGAAGTCCTGGCCCTTGTGCTATGGATTTGACCATTGGAGTTGGTTTGGGGATGATGATCAAGCATAGACACCTAGAGAAGAACATGCAGAAATGGCCTTGGGCTAAAATATGAGTATTGCTACTGATGCCATCAAGATCCATCCTGCTGGGTTTCATCAGAAAGCTGGAGGAGCAAAGCAGAGGGGAAGGTGATTGTTCTTAAGGTGCACAAGTTGAGTAGGGAGTACCTCCACAGAGATGGGGGCAGACCTCCTGGGGGAGCAGAGAAGCAAGATGAACTTGCCATCCCAACAGTGTCTCCAGGGATGGCTGGGGTCCATGCCCACTCCTCGGCCCTGTGGGAGCTGCTTGAGTTTTCCTCTGGAAGATGCCAGTCTTTTCCCTTGTGATGTGGTTGGGAGGGACCACATTTGGTGGGTGCTGAGGTCTGCTCTGTGCAGGCCTTCTGATGATGGAAAGTGCTTTTGATGTAATTCCTTCTCCCTTCTGTCCTTGCAGGATACAAAGGAGGAGGTCTCAGAGAAACCAAAGTCTGCTCCAACTGTGGAGAAGCATGGCTGGATTAAGAAAAGCAGTGGAGGGCTCCTGGGATTGTGGAAGGATCGTTACATCCAGCTAAGGAAGACACAGCTCGTGGTCTATGAGGATGAGGTATTGTCACAGCTAATGGCCTTGAATGAGGGGCAGGGTCAGGCCCTTGGGGACACATGTATCTCCCTATGTTTTTCACACTTCCCTCCAGCCCATTCCTTTCAAAAAGGCTTCTCCAGTTATCTCTAGGAAGGGTAAATGCTATAAAGAAGAGACAGCAGCTGCGTTTTTGAGTATATTATATATCACAAATATTTTCGCCAGTAAATATTTTGACAGTGCCATTGCCAAAGAAAAAACATGGGGGGCAGGACATCCTGTGAGGAGGTGAACACAGTAAAGCTTTGGGAGGAAGCAGGATATGTACAATGTGGTTTTGGCTTTTGAAGGATAAAAGTGGATTGTAGCAGGCTGAGTTCCCACCTGCTGCTTGAGGGGATAGCAGGCAACCCTGCAGCTGTTTGGCACTTCTCAAGCAGCTCAGATTGTTGCTAGCCAGACTCTTCAGGGTTTCTTTTAGCCACTGATGCAGGGTGAGATTGTGAGCGTTTGCTGTCCCCCTTAAGCAGGGATACAGTCTGGATTTGGCTCATCTTTTCCCTTTACTTGAGCCAGTTCTGAGCAAAGGACCCCTGGGAGCCTTGTCCTGGACTTCCCTAGATAAACTGCTTGCCTTAAGTTCATGGCCGCACTTAGAGCTGTTTCCAGACAAATGAGAAAGAAGAGCCAAGCCAAATCTGTCCTGCATTTTCAGGCAAGAAGAATGAGAAGTGCAGGGCTGGTTTTCAGGCAAGAAGAATAAAAAGCACAGGGCTGGTCCTGCTGGGCTGCAAAGGTGGCTCTTTCCTGAGTCAGGCCCTCGATTCCTGGCTGGAAGCAGCTTCTGCAAGAGCAAAATTTGCCCCCAAAAATTAGAAAATGCAGCGCAGAGAACAGGGTCCATCTAAGAGAGGTTTGAGAGGAGGGTTAGGAAAGTCTGAGCTCTGCTTGTGTGGTGGCTTGAAGTCTGTGTATGCAGCAGGATGGAGGAGGTGGTCTGCACAAGGACCACGTGCCTGTGTAGTGTCTGACTCAAGGGGATCTGGGTCATGTGTGGGCATCAGGAGGATATAAAAGCAAAATCATGTAAAGCTTCATGTGCAGCCTGTCAAGGGAAGAAAAATGGGGAAATGTTTCAGCAGCTGCACTGCTGCGATGATTTCAGGAACAACAGCACTGACAGTGAGTTCGGTTCTCTTTTTCAAACGCACACTCTTGCCTAATAAAGAAGATTTGTTATAAACAGTTTAGGTTAAAGGGTATTACCTCCTCCCTTTCACTGAACCCTCCTGCTCTTCCCAAATCCCAAAGCTTTCTGGAGGCGTTTGTTCTTAGCTTTGAAATGTCATGCAGAGTGCAAGAATAATGACAGGAGAAGTCAATGTCAGGTGATGAGCAGCTCAGAAGGCAGGAAAAGCAGGGGGGTTCTTTTACCACAGCCTGGTCCTGCAAACTGTTGACTCTCTGCAGATCATTTCCCAGTGCCCTGGACACCTGTTGACTCCAGCTGAAGCTTCAGGAACTCGGAGATTCAAAATCTATAAACATGACGTAGGGTTTTTTTGAAAGGGCATGCCTTTAAAAACAAGATTCATGGAGGCTCTCATTACCACAGGGGAAAAGGAGGCTTTTAAAGTAAGATTAATTTTCACAGACATTCAGAAGAAAGAAAAAATCCCAATCATTTAAAGGGTTATTTTATTATCTCAACAAGGAAAATGGCATTTGTAACAACCAGGCATAATGTTTTCTGGTAGCCTGCGGATTGTGGTAACATCCTGTAATAAATTGCATCTGTAAGCTACAGTAGCTACAAGGTCCCATTATTGTAAATAAGGGATCATGTTAATATCTATAGGCTATTAAATTGGCTTACAGTGAAGTCAAATGTCTTAGGAGAGGAAATTGCTGCAAAATTATCTGGTAGCACAATAGGATAGCATGTGATTGTGCAGACTTACTACGGGGGAACCAAAGGAAATGGCAATTTTCTGCACTCAGGAGGGGTCTTGTTGCCACAGAATTGAGGCAGTTCGTGTTTATTACAGTATTTATCTTCCTTTAATATGAGTCAGGGCAGTGTGGTTGTCTCCATCATACAATTGGGGAACTAAGTTTTTTGAGATGAGAAGGGCCAATGTGGAAGGAGAGTCTGTGGTGCAGTGTGCTGTGGTGGTTTGTGTTTCTGGAACTCAAGGTGTCATTTTCCCCACTGGACCTTCTCCACATACCTGCTCTGTGTGACCCTGGAGATGGACATGGCATCCCAGACTATCATCAGTATGAAACATTCAAAAATGTGATTGTTTTGTGCTTGCTGAATTGAAGCTCTAGAAAAAGAAAGGAGATAAAACCTCAGGCAACAGAAACATAGGCATATTTCCATATGTATCCTAAATTAGAGCTAAATGGGTTAAATGGGAGGGAGATCAGCTTCCATGTGGGCAGGCAGGTTTAGAGGCTGCATATTTCAGCTGGTCTGAGCCCATCAGATTTCCAGGAACTGAGCTAGTGCCTTGGACTCGTTTTGCTTTTATCAGTCTGTGCTGTGTTCAGCCCTTCACGAAGAGGTGCTAACGTTGCCTTTAGCAGTTGTTTCCTATGCAGACAACCTTGTGGATGCCGTTGCATGAGGCTGGCTGCTCTTGTAGTTGAGGTTCAAGTGCAAAACAAGAGAAGAGGGGACAGCCAACACAAGATACAGGCAATAGCATTGTTCTGTGTCACCAGAATGTAGAGTCTGAGCAGCACACAAATACTGTATTTATCATCATCAACAGCAATGCCCTGGAATGTGCTCCTGACCTTCCCTGGGAGCATGTTCCCCATGTTGCATCTGTTAGGCTTTGGGTTTGGTTTAAAGCAGAGCCTCCTGCAGGCAAATGGCAAGTGACTATTGTGTTACCTGGAGCAGATGGGGTGAAAGTCATCCCACATGGCTTCAGGTTTCTTTCAGAGGATGTGAAATGAAGGGAGATGGATTTCTTGTTCTCTGCTGTGCCTCCATCTACAGCACCCTACATCTGTACCCTCACCCAAATGGAGACTCAGTTAAGCAGAATGTTTCTATTATGATGACATGCCCAAATGTGAGGAAAGGAGGCACTGATGTAAATTTGGGGTGCTCAGACCCCAAGAAACTACTGTGCAGGTTCACACAGAACCAGGCAGGCTATTTTCTAACAGGGTGTCTCTGCATATTCTTGATAGAATTAAAAAAACCCTTCAGAGAACTTCTGAAGAACAGGCAATCTTATGCAGAGAGACTACACAGATCAATATCATTGCTCCAGGAATTAGAAAGCATCAGTCTTGGGTTTGTTTTTTCTCCCTAAACAGTGCAGCTAGTGGATAGAGTTGTTTTTTAGTTGCTTTAGGGATATTTTTTTAGAAGTGTATTACTTGACAGGGAAAAATCCTTCTAGACAAAGAGTCTTCTAGAGACCAGAGGATCCACTCAGCATTCAACAGTCGTGCAGTTAACATCTGCATTTTGCCCCTGGTAAAGTGATAGCAAGGTATACCCAAAAGAGATTTATTAGAACACTTTGACAGCCTCAGGCAGAGAAGTAAATAATTATTTCATGGTCTAGACACTGAATGGAGGATCCCAGCCCATGAGTGTGTGTCAGTGAGATCTTTGCTGGGAATTATACCTTCAAATAAATTAAAATTTCAATGAGTCTTTCTTTCCACTTTTTACTAACTTTTCATTCAGGAAATGGTTTGCCAAGTGTGAGTCTTTGGTTAAGCACAGGCATTGATATGTCCAGGTGTTCAGTGATTTTCTTCTTCAGGACTAAGCAACAGACACAGCCATATTTAAGTCACAGGATCTGCTCTATGAACAGCTAATGGAATAGTTTTTCTGCTTTAAATCATGAATGTAGGGGTTCCTCTACCAGGACTGAGCTAGTCCAGAACATGTGTCTGACACCCACGTGTCAGGGCAGGACTGTGGAAGTGACCTTGTCTCTGTGTGATGCTGAGTATCCTCCAGGTCCCAGAAGGCTGAAGGGACCTGGAGACCTGCATCAGGGTCAGGTCTTTAGTCCTTTATCTTAGTGGTGCAGGACAGACATAAAGGATCTCTTTGTGACCCAGGTAGGCTCACAGAGAGGGGATGGCTGCTTGCCAAGGGTAAAACAGAGACAAAAGCCCCATTCTGGCACTCCCTGAACTCAGATGCTTTTCCTTTGCCTCAGACATGGAGTTTTTGTATTTCTCTGGCTGCTTTCTTCCCCACCCTCGCTGAAGAAATAACTTACTCGAGAAGTTCAGGTCCCTGAGGTGAAGGAGCCATAGGTTTGCACAGTCAAGCTGGTGGCCCTGGCAGACACAGGGTCCTGCATGGCCCTGTCCTCTCTGCCCTTGTTCCCTGGCCAGGCCACAGTCCCTAAAGCCTCGCCAGGGAGGAGAGGGGCAGCTGGAAGGCAAGAGGCAATCTGACAGCAAAACCACAGCTCTCCACGCTGCCAAGTCCTCCTTGCTTCCCAGCTCAGTGCTCCACAGCCCTTAGGAAGTGGAGGTTAGCTCGCACGGGATCAGAGGGAAGGTTCCTGTCCAAGAGGCAGGAAGGATGGCGTGGACAGGGAGGATGGCAGGGAGCCACTGGGCACTGCTGGGGTCAGAGCTGCTCCTGAGAGCGGAGAGGGTGGGCAGGAGCCTTGGTCTCTGCCCAGAGCTCTGCCAAGCTGTCTATGTCCTGAGCCCAGGGAAGGAGCTGGGCCTGCAGCAGGGCTGTAACGTGGGCGGTCAGGATGAGATCACCCATCCCCGAGGCATGTATTCCTGACCTCACCCTTCTCTGTCATTTGTTGGCCGCTGAGGGGTTATTATTTCCATCCCTGTCCCTTTGCAGTGACATTGCGATACCAGGATTGCAGCAGGAGCCTTCAAAGGGCTCCGAAGCGTCAGCAGGATTTTATCGCCTGGGTTTTAAGTTTGGGCAGGATTAATCTCCTCCTCCTAGTATGCATTTTCCCCAGTTCACATTCACCTACTCAGTGTTAAATGAAATAAACAGTAATGTCATTAAAATAATAAGCCTAAATTAGATCCAGACATCCCTCAGTGGCTCAGAACTTGCTCTGTGTACCAGCATGGGCTCCTCTGGGCCCCCAGCCCCAGATAGGAGGGTGAAAAAAGCCCAAACACAGCCTGAGCTCTGCACAGCGACTTAAATGTCAAGTGGTAAAGGGAGGAAATTCCCCGCAGCCCACTTCCCTCTGAACTCTCCATTCCTGCCTCCAGCCACGCAGCAGCTTCCTGGCTACGACATGTTTCCTCATCCCACACCCCCTCTCCGCTACAGGAATTGCTAAATACAAACTCATTCGGGTACAAGAAGCTGCCTTGGGAGTGGAGTCTGAGCTGGGGGTGGTTATGGCCAGCGGTTTCAGTTCAGAATGGCACTAGAGAGGTTCCTGAGCTGTGCTGCCTGTAGCACTTCACCGACAAGAGCTGGTCTGAGACTGTCACTGCTCGCTGATGCTTAGCAAAAGGAGCTTTGGGCTCAGCTGAGCTCCCGAGACACGAAGAATATTATCTGCCCAGCGTTACGCTGTGATTCCTATTAGGGATGGTGCTCTGCAGCTGAACTGAGCCACGCACCACGTGTGGAATTCTAGTTATGTTACTGGGAGAAATGAGCCAAGATCACGGCCGGCAGTCATCAGTGGAGATGCTCCAGAGATAAATATTCCCTGCTGAGACACTGGCCCAGACGTTTTGCTGGCTGTAGGGAACTGTATTCCCAATCCTAAGCATTTTGACAGCTCAGAGCGTGGCTGCAAGAGGACTGTGTCCGTCGTACGTGGCTCCCACTGACCTTGTTGACGTGAGGACCAGCCTGCCCCAGCTCAGTGAGGCAGCAGCGTTCCTCTCTTATCCCTGCTTTGCCTCAGGCTTCTTGGGGGCTGCTTGGACCATCAGGATGCTCATGTCATCATCCCTGTGAAAAGCAGAATCACATATCCTTTCATCCTGGGGAGGAGGTAGTGTCGCTTGTGGCTGCAGATCCCTGGATGAGGCCAACAGCAATGGCAGAAACTGGTGTTACTGTGCACAACCTGTTATTTGCTCAGCCACTGTGGACCACTAGGCTTGTAGCTTAAAGACCATGGTGTTTTCTTAGTGAGATGTCAGCCTGATTTATGGGGGTTGCCGTCTGCACACAGGTTGTTTTTAAGGCAGAAGAGCTTTTAGACAGATGCAAGAGCAGGACACGCAGAGTTTGATGGTATATGACTGGTTTCAGTGCCTCCTATTCGTAATAATGTTTTGTTCCCTCTCTGCAGGATGAACAGAAGTGCATAGAAACAGTGGAACTGGAGAGTTATGACAAGTGCCAGGAGCTGCGTGCACTACTAAAAAAGAAAAACCGTTTCATTTTAATCCGCGCCCCGGGTAAGAAGGTAGGATTGCCTTTCTCATCACCCTCGAGTCTGCTAACTCCAAAATGAGTTCCCAGGCAGCTGCACCCACAGCAGATGAAAGGCTCTGAGATTTAGGTCCTTGGCAGCTGGGAAAATGGCCTGTAGCTGTGAAGGGTCTACAGTGTGTAAAGAGGTCATGTAGACCTTCTGGTCATGGGGAAAGATCTTCCTGCAGCTCGACTTTTTCCTCTTGGTATTTTTCCTGCCTTATTATTTTCTTTCTGAACAGTGTAGAAAGACCATTCCTTGTGATTCTCCCCTGTGCTCTGGGCAGTATCCCTGACTCGACTGCAGATGCTGCAGCTTCACCAAAGGTCCAGTGAAATCAATGATCCTGATCCATGTACTGAGACAATTCCTGGAGTTGGAACTGTTGATCTGACAAACTCTGCTGCAGTTATTTGCAGCTAAACAGTTCCTAGGAGAAAAGGTTTATTTTGCAGAATTCATGAAACTCCACATCTTTAGCTTTCTGCACAGCATCTGTTTAGACCCAGAACCTAAATCCAGGCTGGTATTGTGAACAGATTATACATCCATATGGGCTGTATGCAACATCACCCTGTCTTACTTCCTTTCTAGGTTCATCATAACTACACATCTTTGGAAGTTCTCCTTAGTTCCTACTTACATACTATGCCAGTGTCTTTACAGGCTAGAATGCTTGTGTTGTTGCTTTGAGGCATCACACTTTGATTTACTCCTAATTGAAGTGTGATTTTATTTGGCTAAGAAATCTTACAAAGTCTCCCCATGCAAACCTGAGAGGTTGTGAAGGAAAAAATACATTCAATTCCATAAGAACATGAACAGGCAAAAATACCAACTTGCCTGCATTCCCCCATCTCCATTTGGTTTAAATAAATGGAGATTGTTTAGTCCTTGTTGTCATTGTTGCTTATTCTTTCGCTCCAGTCACTTAGTGTTTATTGGTATAATAAGACCCCAGCTGAGTTCAGAGCATCATTGTGCTAACCTTCATTCAAAATAACAAAACTAGGACTGTCCTGCCCCAAAACACTCCCGTGGACCAGGGTGGGGATGGAGAGAGAAGGTGAATGTTGTTAGCTTTGCAAGTAGACACAGTCTGTATCAGGGAGAAAAGTGATATTAAGCACCAAACTGATGGAGGCCTGGCACTCTGCACCCTGGGCTAGTGAGTTCCTGCGCAGTGCTGGAGCCCAGAGCACTTTAGGAAGGAGTTCTACCCTGTGAGGGTGGTGAGGCACTGGCACAGGTTGTCCAGAGAAGCTGTGGCTGCTCCATCTCTGGAAGTGTCCAAAGCCAGGTTGGGCAGGGCTTGGAGCAACCTGGGCTAGTGGGAGGTGTCCCTGCCCATGACAGGGGGATGAAACAAGATGATCTTTAAGGTGCCTTCCCACCCAAACCATTCTGTGATTCTAAATGCACACCCGTTCCCAGGAAGGTCAATAAAACCCTGTGTGCTCAGAGATAGGCAGCACAGTAGGAACTGGTATCATCTTTAAGTATGTTACTGAGGGAGAAGTGTGTGATAGCTGCATATGTCTCTGCACTGCTCCATGAATCAACACAGGGAGTGAGACCTGTTCCTAAACTTTTTATTTCTTGCTATGAGAAAAATATGCCCAAACTGTACCTGAAAGGGTAACTTCATCCTTTTGGCATGCTGGCAAGTTGTACAGCTTGCTGTTTTTCATGCCACTGATTCAATGGAGACCTAGATAGAGGCTACTTTTTATAAGGCTCTTTTGGTGAAAGGAAGGGCTTTTATAAATGAAAAGTTCCCTGTTTGTAGCTCCCCTTCCACCCTCCTTTTGGCTGGGAATCTGGTGAGGGTGTTGACACACAACATACTTTGGCAGATGTTAGCACAGGCTTCAATTGGAAGGCCAACGTACACAACTGTCCTTCTTCTGTTTTGAAATTGCAGCTGTGGCGATATATATCAGCTAAACATTTTCCATTTGGGAGGCTTGCTGCCATCCACAGTTTAAAATCACCCTGTGAGCCAGCCCTGCCACATCTTGCTAGGGTTTATTTCTTTATGCCCACTCTTCTGAGGAATACATAAAATCCAGTGAGTTTGTGTGACTTAGGCACAAGTTAGGAAAGGCCATTTCTCTTTCAGTGCAGTTTAGCTGTAGGGGAATCCCAGTTTAAATCTTGGATGGGGTATTCTTGAAGAGCAGAGATGAATCAGTCAGTAAAAGTACTCTGCAGCTAAAGCTGCACCTAAATAAATAAGTTGTCTTGCTAAACACTGGCTGTTGATGGAAGTACCCCAGATTCTGTTCACAAGGATGACATTTTTGTTAAGCTGTGACAATATGAGCATGTCACACGCCTGCACTGGTCTGGAGCTGAAAGCAAGCTCTGCCCTCTGAGCTTCAATTCTTCAGCAAAGGAAGCTGGCAGTGTGCAAAAGCCCAGTTCTGCTTAGAAATCTCAAATGCTTCATTCCACCCACAGCAATTAAATGAAAACTGTTGGATGCAGAGAGCTGGGCTTCTAAGAAAGGGCAGCAGCCTTGGCCTGGAGACTTTAAAATGTACTGACGATGCAAAAAAAGCAGTGTAAATGATGCTTGGTGTAAACTGCCTAGAGACTGCAGAGGTTGGCACAGGTCTGGTATTCAGTGGGTCTGAAAGCCTTGAGGGGAGTCTTAAGAACGGGAAGAAGGTGGTAGTAAGGGAAAGAATCCATCAGCAAGCTCTGCAGCTCCTCATGCATCCTTCCTAGCATGGCCAGGCACAAACCCCACACCTGTGGTCCAGGGCTGGAAATTTCCACTACTTATTTTTCCCTTCATCAGTTTTGGAGGTACCTGGAGCTGCCTACACCAGGGCCCAGCCTGGAAACTGCAGCAGAATGCATTGAGGCATGGAGGAGTCTGCTCCTGGGGTCTGGCAGAGGTGCTGCATTATTCCCAAGGATGAGGTAGCTCTTAGTTCAGCTGTGGAAAACCACTAGAATCCTCTGACAGTCATCTCATAGAATCATGGAATGGTTAGGGCTGGAAGGGACCTTAAAGATCATCTGGTTCCAACTCCTCTGCCATGGGCAGGGAGTCCCTTGGCTTCTGCTTTTCCTTCCATGATCTAACATGAAATTGTGTAGAAGAAGATAGGAGATGACCTCACATCTGGCAGGTCATCTGGCTCTTTGTAGCTCAAGATCTTACTGACAAAGCTCTGCTCAAGCTTCTGCTGGAGATGACCACCCTATACCAAAAGTCAGTAGGAGGGAACACATCCCCACAGCAGTTCACAAGCAGTTCACTGTCCAGTTTAGCCCAGGCCCACTGACCTGAGGCCAACACTAAGCTTTGCACTGAAACAGGTGAGGAGCAAGCACAGGTGACTGTCACCCACCTCTGCTGCAGATGAGCAGCATCTGAATTGCTCAGCAAAGATCAAGTGTTGGTAAAGGTCTTAAACTGCAGCTACACAGTTCTCCAGAGCTTGTCTGTTAAATCATTCAGGGCAGGTACAACAGACTGACCCCAGGAACACTTCTCTTCCCTGGATAGCAGGCTCAGCATAGCCATAAGGCTGTCACTGCTGGAGGAGAGCGATGCCTGGGAGAAGACAAGGAGCAATCTGGGAGCCTGTTCTCGCTGCCGTCACGGACAGTGATCCGTGTGGGAGCTCTTGTGGCATGACATCTCGGCAGTGATTCAGGCTGTGCTCTGAGTAACTGTCAGTAAATTGCATAGCCTGTATTCATGGCTTACAATGGTCACTAGGTTTAGCCATGACAGCTTTTCCTGGCACACCAGCCTGTTGTTTATGGCATGACTCAGTCTCAGCTGGCTTAGCAAGAAGGAGTGCAAATGTGTTACCCTGCTTGCTGCCTTCTTATTCGGTGTCACTGACTCTCTGCCTTAAAT